TTAACAGTCAAATGCCTTAGGCACTACACCACCAGAGTTCCCAAACCACACTCACTGCCATCTAATTGATTCCAATTCATAATGATCCCCTTTGGGTTTCAGAGAGAGATGGTAAATCTTTAGGGAAGTACATTGCCCAGTCTTCCTTTCAGGGGATTGGCTGGTGAGTTTGAATTGCCAGCCTTCTGGTTAGCAGTCAAATGGCACTATGCCACCAGAGCTCCTTGTATGCTTGTTAGTGGGTTAAAAAAAATCACACCGAGTAAGGGGTGAGATTGGTTTAAGTTTAGTAGGCTGCAGAATCAGGGATGCTGTCATGTTGCTGTTTCCCTAGGGCCCAGAGAGGCTTTAAGTAACTGATAGCAAAGCAAAACAATTTATAGCTAACCTTCTTCTCTGAGGACTGTAGTCTTATGATTAGCATAGTGAGGGGGAGGTGTAGGAGAATAAGCCTGGTCTCTAGTATTGATAGAGTTATCTCAGAGATTTGAACCACAAATAATACCTTTTTCTAGGAAGTGTTACCTGAATGTGTTTGAATCATAAGCTCATTTTTTAAATTAAGATATTGGAACTTTTTGTTTTGGAAAATATTAAGAAACCATGAAAATAATGGTCACTGTGTCTTCCTAATAATTTTCTAGAATCCCTTTATTCAGGCAGTCCCTCCTTTATGAATAGTACTGTCCTTAGGTGCTCTAGATGTAAAAGGAGTGAAGGGGGCATGCATGCAAAAGGATATGGATATATACATAGGGAAAGAGTGGGAACTGTGGATCGTGCAGATTTAAGCTTTGTCTTTCATTGGCTTTTACTGACTGTGAGACATCACCAAGGTAGTTAGCCTCTCTGAGCATCAATTTTCTCATTAGTAAAATGGGTCTGATTCTTTATAACCCTTTAAATTATGGGTGCATTCTTAGCATTATGCCCAAGGCATTTGACTGCTAACCAGAAGGTTGGCAATTCAAACCCACCAGCCACTCTGTGGAAGGAAGACTGGGCAATCTACTTCCATGAAGATTTACTGCCTCAGAAACCCAATGAGAGTCACTATGAATCAGAATTGACTCGATGGCAGTGAGGTGTTTTTTTTCCCCTTAGTATTGCATCTGTACATAGTAAGTACTCAGTTAATGGTAGCTATTATGACTAATTTAAAATTTTTATTGTGATTTAGGTGAAAGTTTACAGAGCAAATTCATTTTCGATATAGCAGTTCACATACACTTTGTCTCATGACATTGACTACAGTTTCCCACAATGCAACAGCTCCCTTCCCAGTTCCTCCCCGTAGTTACCTCTTCCCTGTGTCCTTCCCTCCCATGCACACCTGCCCCTCTAGTGGTCTCCCTGTGCATACACAGCCCTTCTGTTCTCCCACAATTGATCAATTGTATCTAGCTAATGTAAATGTTCAGCTCATATGCTAGTCTTTTGTTTGGCTGGAAGCCACAGGAGTGGCTTCAATTCCAGACCTGAAGGGCTAAGGGCTGCTAGGAGTCATAGTCTCAGTGGTTCCACCAGGCTCTGTCAGACCAGCAAACCTGGCCCCCCCCCCTTTTTTTCCCAAATGATTTTGAGTTTTGTTACACATTGTTCTCCTACTGTATCCAGGATCTCCTACATAGATCCCTCTCCAAGCGGTTGACAGTGGTAGCTGGGCACAATGGTAGCTATTACTATAAGTGTGTATGGTATTTGTACCACATTTATAGGCAATGGTAGTTCAGTATCAGGGAGAAGTCAGTTTAGGAAGAGTTTGCTTAGTGGTGAGGAGAGAGGACATGACATCTGTGAGAATGGGAGAGTCTGGTGCTAGTTTGGAGAGGAGGTGGGCAAGGGGTAGGGTAGGGAGTGTAATAGACAGGTAAGTTGGGGTCAGTCAAGGGAAGGAGGAACATGGGCTCAAGTTGAGACTTTCTGGAGAGGCAGGAGCTGGACCACCTGGATGGAGTCCCAGCTCTGCCACTTGCTGCATGTGTAATCTTGTTAGGTGCCTTCCAGTCACTTTTGGCTCATGGTAACCACATGTGACGGACTTGAACTGCCCCCAGGGTTTTCTTGGCTGTAATCTTTACGGGGTAGATTACCAGGTCTCTTCTTTAGAGCCACTGTGTGGGTTTGAACCGGGACCTCAAACTGGTTCCCATTTGACTTCCTGCTGAGAATTTACATTTCCACCCCAGATGTATTGAATTAGAATCTGTATTTTTAACAAATTCCCAGGTGATTCTTAGACATTTCCCAGGTGATTATTATATGTACCTAAGAGTCTTTGTAGATTCTGACTCAGTGTATCTGGGGTGGTGAAAGGCAAATTCCCAGCAGGGAGGAGAACCGGAATGAACTGGTAAGAAGCCCTAGTTAATATTTTGTTTGCAGCTGAGTGCCTAACCATTGCATCTCCAGGACTCCTTATTGTAATTTTAGGCAAGTTATTTAACCTCAGTTTTTCCCATCTGTAAACTATTTAAATATAAAGTACCACATACGGTTGTTGTGAAAGTTAAATGAGTTACGTATGTGAAGGGCTTAGAATGGTGTCTTGTACATAGTAAGGTTACACACCTTGTTGTGTCAGTCCTCAATAATGGAGCTAAAGTGACTATCATCAGTACTCAGCAGAACCACCGTTACGTGACTTCTGGAAAGTTAAATTTAATTCTGTTGTGATTGTCTAACATGGGTTATCAGAGAGGAGATAGCAAAAGGATCATCACCTTAACAATCAGAAATCAGTTCTCTTTGTAGGAGATTCAAACCAAGGCAAACCCAACCCCTCAAGTAGATTGACTTAGGTACCAGGTAGGACAGAGTAAAACTACCGTGTAGGATTTTCAATGCTGTAATCTTTATGGGAGCAGATTGCCATGAAAGACTGTAATCTTTCTCTCATAAACCAAAAACCCAACCAAGCTCACTGCCATCGAGTCAGATCTGACTCATAGCGACCCCTCCTTGGGTTTCCAAGGCGGTGTCACTACAGAAGTAGACTGCCCATCCTTCCTTCAAGGAGAGGAGTGGCTGGTGGGTTTGAATGCCAGCCTTCTGGTTAGCAGTCAAGTGCCTTAGGCACTACAACTACTTAAGAAAAAATCTTAACCATTGTGCAAAGTGGAATGGAGAGAGTGCTGAGTACTCAGGATCTAGATCTCCCGATCTCCCTACTCGGGTGATTCTAGGCAAACCCTTTAATCTCTCCAGGAGTTGAGTTTTCTTTTCTGTAAAATGTTGGGCTTGGATGAAAAAATAATCTGCACCTTTGAAGTTTCAGGATTAGTGAGTTTTTCTTGCTCTCTTAACTAGGTATGTGTCTGCTCTCTTAACTAGGTGTGTGTCTTTGGT